AAAAATAGAAGCCGTTAACAAAAATTTTCTAAACGAACTGATGGAAATTCCCTTTGTCAAAGGAACTGCTATAAATCAAACCACAAAAACACTATGTCCAGGAGCCGAGAACTATTTCTTGAGCTAATAATGTGCGGGGGGTAGAGGGAGGGGGTGACGCAGTCGGCTTCCCTGGGGAGAGCGTGTGAGCGGAGAGGCCCCCATCCCACCCAGGGGTCTGCATTCAGGTGCCGTCCTATTGAAATTAGTCATTGAACCGTCATTTAAGAACAGACACTGCCAGTGCCTTCCTGACAAGTTTGCAGGTAAAGGGCTGCCCCATGGAAAGGGTTGTTATTTGGGGGAAAAGGCCTCTGGCCAACTTGGTCTGAGGACTTTTCGGACAGAACGGCCCTTCAGCAGGTAGGATTTGGACAGGAAATGCACAGGTCCAGGTAAATAATTTGGGGAGCATCCTGGGCTAAGAGTTGGGTGTCAGAGACCATGGTGGAATGTTGCTGGTACCTTGGTTCTCCGGGACGGGACTGAGCCGTGCGCCCAGCCCGCCCACCTGCGTGCCAACTCCTGTTGGGTGGATGCCCCTGACTCCCCCCACAGCCTGCGCAAGCTACCGGCCCTTTCACAACTGCCTGCAAAATTCCCAGATTTTTAGACAATTGGCTTTTCATTATAGTTGACATATAATATCTGTTCGTTTCAGTTGTACAACATAGTGATTGGACATTTATATGCCTTACAAAGGGGTCACCCGATGACTGGTGCCCACCTGGCACCACACATAGTGATTACATGTCACTGGCTGTTCCCTGTGCTGACACGTTGCCTCCCGTGACTGCTTATAACTGGCGATTGGTAATTCTCAGTCCCTTCCCATTTCACTCAACCCCTCCGTCTGGCAACCATCGATTGTTCTCTGTATCTCTGAGTTTGCTCCTATTTTCTTTCGTTTCTTTGAGCCCACACATAAGTAAGATCGTACAGTATTTGTCTTTCTCTGACTTATTTCACGTAACACGACACATTTCTCCAAAGAGGACGTAGAGACGCCGCCAACAGGCACACGCAAAGATGCTCAACAGCACTCACCCTCAGGGAGATGCAAATCACAACCACAGTGAGGTGGCACCCCACACCTGTTAGCGTGACTGTCATCAGAAAGTCAACAAATGCTGAGCACGGGAGGGTGTGGAGAAGGGGAGCCCTCCTGTAATTGGCGCAGCTGCCATGGAAAACAGCAGGGAGGCGCCTCAGAAAGTTAAAACCAGAGCTGCCATACCACTCAGGAGCCCCCCTTCTGGGTACATAGCCAAAGAAAAGGAAAACGTATGTGAAAACATAAATGGACCCCCATGTTCATTGCAGCGTTATTTACAATGGCCAAGATATGGCAACAACCTAGGTACCCACTGGTAGACGAACGGACAAAGATGTGGGATCAATACACAATGGAATATTACTCAGCCATAAAAAGTGAAATCTTGCCATTTTCACAACACAGAAAAACCTACAGGGTATTATGCAAAATTCCTAAATATGTAGTCACTGTTTCCCACGGCCTCGGACAGGCAGGGCCAGACCAAAGGTGAAGGGAGTGTGGTGCCCCCCTCCGAGAGCCAGCTGACGGAGGACCAGCTGGCAGGTCCAAGTGCAGGCTCGGCCCCTGGAGGGAGCGTTGCCCTAGGCTTTGCGCCCTGGGTGCCTTGCTTGGCTCAGCCAGGTACGCTCCGGGTCACAAGCCCCTGAGCCCTGTCTTCTCTCAGTAAATCACAGGGACCTCATTCTGTTGCCGTGAAAGGAAGCCCATATATGGGGTCAGGAAATGCTGCCATCCACAGAGGTGGGCTGGTAGGTTCTGCTCAGCTCCAGGCCCCTGGGAAGGGGCAATGGCATGACAATGTTACTGTGGACGCCCAGTGAGCTGCGACTTCTGCTGCGTCATGCAAATGCAGGCCATGCAAATGCAGGCCATGCACGCTGCGGCTGTAGGAAGACACACAGGCTAAATGCAGGGGTTTGTTTTCAAGGCCGGGGGTGTTGGGCCCACAAGTGACAGAGCGTGACAGGCTCAGTGGTGAGCGCCCGCAGATGGAGACCTTCACCGGGCACAGCCTGACCTCTCGCCAGGGAGCTGGGGGAGACCCGTCCCAACTACTAGGGAAGGACGGGGCTGGGAGTGGCCCCGGGACAGAGGCCCTGGTTGGGGTGCAACCCCTAAGCCAGTGATGGTGAACCTATGACACACGTGTCAGAGGTGACACGTGAACTCATTTTTTTGGTTGATTTTTCTTTGTTAAATGGCATTTAAATATATAAAATAAATACCGAAAATATAAGTTTTTGTTTTACTATGGTTGCAAATATCAAAAAATTTCTATCTGTGACACGGCACCAGAGTTAAGTTAGGGTTTTTCAAAATGCTGACACGCCGAGCCCAAAAGGTTCGCATCACTGCCCTAAGCTGTTCTTGTTGGGGTGAGAAGCCCAACCTCCACTTCATGGAGATGGGCCAGAGAGCCTAGAGCAGTGAGTCTGGAGTTTTTCCAGAAAAAATATTGCGGGCTTTTTGGAATTTAATGCAAAGAGTTTTAAAACTAGCTCATGTATTACCTCATCATACTCTTCGGTTCACCATGATTTCCTGTGTAAAACTTAACCTACACGGCTGCTTCGTCCCTCCCTCACTCACCCGTGGCCCTGCTAAACCTCACCTGCTGACATGGGCAGGGCTCAGACGCCCCTGTGGCCTGATGGGGACCGGCCCTGGAGCTTGGCTGCCGTCCTGACCTGCTGGTGGCCCTGGACAGCCCCCCTTGGGCAGGCACACTTCCTCTGCAGGACCACAGCGGGGCCCAGGAGGGACCTGGCGCTGCTGGCCTGCCCTCAGTGGCGTCGCCCATGCCCTGGCCACGCAGAGGTGCATGATGCTTAAAGCCTATTGTGGAGCAACCCCCATGACCCCCCACATCTGTCCTGGGGCTCAAACAGTGGTCCCCAAAACCCAGAACCCTCCCGGAAGCAATCACTCACACAGAACTCACTCCCCCGGGGGCAGGCCCAGGTCTCCCCAGGACGAGGGGGCCACTCTAGGGCCAGGACACCAGCTGGCAGGGGCCTCCGGGAAGCCTGTGCCGGAATGCCCAGGAGCCGATTCACGAATGCTGACTCGGGCCATGACCCTTCTCGATGGAGCGATCCCAGGTCCATCTCCTCCTCGATGCACCGCAGGTCACCCTCTGACTGTGGGTCTCCTTCTGAATATAGTGCCCCTCTATGGGTCCCTCTTGCTGTGTGTGGGGTCTCCCTCTGACTGTGAGGCCCCTTCTGTCTGTGGGTCTCTTGTCTACAGCCAGTAGCCTGCCCAGGCCTGGGCCCTCAAATTCACAATTCTTTCCGTGTCCTTGACCGCTGCCTGTTACTACTAGTTTTTACTTGGTGCTTGTAGCTTGTAGAGGGAAGGCACTCCTGGATGTGTCCCACGGAGACGTAATGTTTATACACAACCCCTCCCAGTTGTGAGATTTCACGGTCCTGGAAGCACAGACTGCAGGCTCTCCCACGGCCCCTGACCCCCAGGCCACCGACCCCACTGGCTCGGGCCCTTCCCCTCCGACACCACATCCCCGCCTGACCCCGCGGGGACACATTAAATATAGATGGTGCCGTGAACTCTCGTCCTTCCCAAATGGGTCTGCTTAGTCTCACAGTAAGTTTTTCTTTTTCACGTTTGGAGGGTGTATTGGAAGATGAATAGAGAACCCAATCAGTTATAAAAACAAAAGTCAGGTTTATGACGCAGACACGGGGACAAATGGAACGTTTCCGGACGTGTGAGATGCTGGACCCCTTTTTGCAAAGAGCCCTGCACGTTCAGCGCTGAGGGCAGCGTGGAAAGTCCCTGGCGGGCTCAGGTGCCAGGTTCCCGGCAGCTGAGCAGAACCGGAGACCCCCACGTCCCTGGCGATGGCAGTGCTGCCCTCCGGCCTGTGCCTCGCCGGGCCTGCCGTCCCCCCACAGGGGCGCCTCCAGCCTTTCCCAGTGGTTGCCACGGCCTGGGGTCCCCTCCACAGACCACACCACTTTCACGGCAGGAATTGCTGTATCTTCGAGGTCTGGACACACCAGACCTCACGTGCCCACTTCATGGCCAGGCCTGTTCGGAGACGCTGGGCCCCTCGGATGCTGCGCATCACACAGGTTCGAGCCTATCCACACCCCTCCCACCTTCTTTTTAGAAAATGGTTTTTACAATTTTAATGTTTTACTTTTCAGTTACAGTTGATGTATAATATTATGTTCATTTCAGGTGTGCAGCCTAGTGATTGGACATTTATGTAGCTTACGAAGTGAGACATGCCCACCTGGCACCACACACAGTTGCCCCAGTATTATTGACTGTGTTCCCTACACTGCCCAGGACTATTCTGTAACCACCCATTTGTACTGCTTAATCCCTTCACCTTTTTTCCCCACCCTCAACCCCCCTCCCACCTGGCAACTGTCAAAATGTCCTCTGTATCTGAGTTGCTTCTGGTCTGCTGGTTCGTTTTGTTTTTCAGAAGCACATGTCAGTGAAATCACATAACACGTGCCCTGTCTGTCTTATTTCACTCAGCGCAATGTCTTTTAGGTCCATCCGTGTGGCTGCAAATGATAAGATTTCATTCTTCCTTAAGGCCGAGTCGTATTCCATTGTGTATATGCGCCACGTCTGTTTAAAAAATATATATTTTTATTGATTTCACAGAGGGAGAGGGAGAGAGAAGCATCAATGATGAGAATCATAGATTGGCTGCCTCCTGCATGCCCCCCACCGGGGACTGAGCCCACAATTGTGCCCCCGACTGGAATCAAACCCAGGGCCCTTCAGTCCGCAGACCGGCCCTCTAGCCACTGAGCCAAACCAGCTAGGACTGCACTCCGCACATCTTTATCCATTCACCTATTGATGGGCTTAGGTCATCTCCATATCTTGGCTCTCGTAAATAATGCTGCAATGAACATATGGTTGTACATGTCTTTTTATTTAGGCTTTGGGCTTTTTGGATAAATACCCAGAAGTGGAATTGCTGGGACTTTGTCTCCTGTTATAGCCTTTGTTTTAAAGTCTGTTTTGTCCAGCATGAGGATGGCTACCAGCTTTTTTGTTTTTACTTTTCTATCTTTTCCCATCCTTGTACTTTTAGTCTGAGTGTGTCTTTTGATCTGAAGTGAGTCTCTGATAGACAGAATATGTAAGGAGATTGTTTTATTATCCGTTCAGCCACAGCCTGTCTTCTGATGGGAGCACTTACTCCATTTGCATTTAATTAAAAACCACTGGATCCTCGACCCCGGGTGGGCCCTGCACAGTGGGGAGCTGCCTGCCCCACCCTCCCCTCACAGAAGTCCCCGCTTGGCACTTCTCCCTGATTGAGCAGGACCAGTATGGATTCGAGGAAAGCATTAGCCATCCCCAAGGAGACTCACCGCTGGGGATCTGGGATATTGGAGACCAAGGGGAGGCCGCCCTGGTCAGGATGCGGCAGAGGGCCCGGTGTCGACTGGGACTCGGGGGGAGGCTGACAGCCCTGACCTGGACCCTCCAGGCCTAACCCTGCTAACCATACGCCTCCTCCGAGCCCCAGTGTGGACGGGAAAGTGGCCCCGGAGGGCAGGGACTCACCCTTGCACCGGCCTTCAGGGGGGACACTGCTCTGCGATGGGCCGTCTGTGTGTTTTTGGACTTGAAACAGCGCCCCTGCCTTCCACACCTGAGGCCAGTAGCAATCCCCCCGCGAGACAACTAAAATGTCTCCAGACCTTGCCCAGCGTCCCCTGGGGGGGGGGGGGGCAGGAACCCCCAGAGCGAGAGCCGATGAGCTGTGAGGAGGAGCTGAGCTGACTAAGCCCCGGCACAGCTTCTCTTCTTTCTCTCCAACTGGGTTTGTGGGAACAGGTGTCGAGCACGGGACTCAGTGGGTCTACAGCACAGGCAGCAAATGGCAGTGGGGGTGGGGGGTACAGTGCAAGCCTGGAGGACTCGGAAGTGCGCTGGGTCCCAAGGCCAGTCGCCTTCCCTGGGCCGGGGCGGGGCAGGGGGCTGCCGGGCTGTGGCTGAGGGTTATCGGGACCAGCGGCGAGATGAGGAATCGGCAGGGAGCCCAGGCCCAGGTCCGCACGTGCTGGGAGAAGCCTGAGGGAGGCCCCCCTGCCACCGCCTCCGAGAAGGACACCAGCTTCTCTTCGCAGCTGCCCCATCCGCGGGGGACACCGGCCCCAGCACCTCCCGGGCCCCCAGGGCCTGGGACGGAGGGTGGGCGTCACACCCAGTGCTTTGCTCCAGATGCCAGTTAGTGGCCCTTCTGTCACTGTTTCAGGGATGACACGTGTCTTCTAATGCTTCCATGTGAAAAGTCTGGTGGGCCCTTGTCGCCCTCACGTAAAAGCCACACGAGGGCTTTTTGCCACAAGGACACACCAAGGACTTCTTGTGACAAGCGTGGGACGCGGCTTCACCCCGGAGCCCGGTCCTCACTGCTGCCCCAAGTCTGAGTCTGGGGCGCGTTCATGCTGAAGGCCATGGCGGACCTCAGGCCCCATCTTCGGGGGGGTGCACACCTGGGTCACCTGGCAGCCTCCTTCGCAGAACGTCCTGGAGACATCAAACTGCAAGATTCATTCCAGGCCACAGCAGACGTGGGCACTGCCCGGGGAGGCCAGGACGCTGCCCACTCGCATCCCCGGGGGGCCGTGGGCTTCGAGGAACCGGTGTTTGAGTCGGGGTCTCCATCACCCCCTGCAGGTCCTCAGGGGCGGCCGGGCGAGAGGCCGTGGCAGCAGTGCAGGGAGCTGCCCAGACCACACTCGGAGGAAATCCCTGTTCTGAAGGCTGCCGAGCGGAGAGCCTCTCCATGCCGCCGCCCCCTCAAGGACTGGCGGCCACACGCCGTGTCCGCGGGCCGTGCCGTCCTCAGTCCCTCCAGGGCACGGCCTCCTGCCGCGGGGCCCGGCACGTGGGCGCCTGCAGCAACCTTCTTCGCGTGGACTCGGCTGTGCTTTTGCAGGAGGGAAGCAAGCTTTTCACCCAAACGCCCGAGGCTGCGGCTCCCCGGGGAGGGTCCCAGAGGAAAGCGAACGCCGGGGTCTCCGTGTTGACCGTTCCCTGCAGGCGGGACGCGCACACGTGCACAGGCAACCACGGGGCCCGCAAACACCCTCCGCACCTCACCCTGCAGGCCCCCGGGGGGGAGCGGGCGCCGTCCCTCCTCCGTCCACACGGGGCCTGTCCTCCTGTCGCTCAGACCCCTCGCCCCACAGCGTGCGTCGGGAGCCGGAGAAGGGCTGGAGGCGGGAAGGAGCGTCTCGGGGTCCCTTTCTGCTGTGTTTGGCAGTGAAGCTGGGGCGCCCGCTCCCCTGGGGTTAAGTGCGGTCTTTCCAGGGGAAGGGACCCCAGGCCAGAGAGGCTTCCTGTCCATGAAGCTCCTTGCTAAGGGCGCAGGCTGAGCTGCCCTTGGCCACCGGCCTGCCGGAGGCAGTTCCCCAGCAGCCTTCTGCGGTCCCTCCGGGTGGCGTCTCTCGGGAGCCTGGTCCGTCCTGGGTGGTGAGTTCTTGTCAAACGTGAAGGACTTGGAGGGAAGAGAAGGGAGAGGGATGTGACTACTCGCCGGCAGCGGCTGCTCCGCGGGCCTCGGGTCAGGCCCCCCGCGCTGTCTGAGGGGTGTGTCATCCCCACTGGCTTGCGGGCGGAGCGCCCCTCCTGCAGCCGCAGTGGGCCACGGGCCCAGGCTCCCCAGGCTCCCCGGGTAGAGGGAGGGGCTCAGGCAGCGCAGTGGTCTGCCTACGGTGTCGAGTGAGGGCTGGTCTGACTGCAAAGCCACGCGCAGCCCGCGGCAGCTGCTGGGAATTGGAGACTGTGGGTGAAGACTGTTCCCGACTTGGGGTGGGAGTCACACCGACCTTTGCTCCCAGGACTGTGGGGTGCTCGGTTCCCCGGGAAACACCAGGTACTGTTCTATTAGGAAGAATTCCGTGTCCGAACCCACTTAAGCCCCCTGCAGGGGTGGGGTGGGAGGGTAGGGCAGTGAGGAAGGAGAATGGAGGCTGGTGGAGGTGCGGGGCCCTCATCCTGCTCGCTCTCCCTGCCCTGTGTGTGCACGTGAAATGTTGCAGTGTCAGCAAGTGGCCCCGCGGGCAGGACTTGGCGGCAGGGCCGGGGGAAAGTGCCTGCACTGGGGTTCCGTGTCTGAACACAGAGGCCCCGTGCCTGCCCCAGTCACCAAGTAACGCTCGTGCCGAGTGGCGAACGTGGAGGGAGCGGCTGCCAGGCCGCCCAGGCCCACGGAACCTGCCCGCTTCCTCCCCGAGCCTCTGGCAAACTCACCTGCGAACCCCTGCTCTGGCCTCGCAGCCTGGGCACCTGTTGGAACAAACCAGGAATGCTCAGGGCAGGCCCTGGAGGGGGGTGGGGGCGGTCTAAAGACCCCCCATGGCTCAAGTGCTTAGGCCGAGAACAGACTCCCAGGGGGCACCCCGCCCTCAGGGCAGACGCTCTGCTCTGTAGGAGGGAAGCGTGGGAAGCACACTGAGATGCTTTGTGCCCGGCTCAGGGCGCCCTCTGCGGCCTGGCCGATGGGCAGCTCGGCTCCCGCAGAAATGAACTCCATCCTGACCTCTAGATTCGGAGCCCATCCTCTCCCCCACCCCTGGGAGACGGCGTCAGGAACGTGGGGCCCAGACTCGGGCTTCAAATCCACGCGCGGGAGCTTTGGCGGAGCTGTGCTCGCTCGGGATGCTAACGCCACTAAAGCTGCACTTGAGACAAAACCACCTCCTCTCAGAGTTTATAAACATCTTGAGAAAGGCAAAAGCACCGATTCCCACCAAATAAACAAACGCCAGCAGCTACACGTGCGCCCCTCCTGGTACCTGTGTAGTAGCCCCGGCGGCCAGGACACCGGCTCCTGCACCACCAGCCTGCAGCCACCCCAACGACCACCATCAGCAGCAGCGCGATGGCGGCCACCACGGTCCTGGACCTCCCCGCCTCAGCGTCGCCTGGGATGTCTGTGTTGCCGACTGTGGTTCCCGGGGTTGGTTCTGCAAGAAAGAGGGAAACAGCCCCGACTTTCAGAGGAAGAAGGCACGCGGGGAGCACTCCTTCCGAAGCGCTTCCCTAGCATCACGCGGTGCCTTTAGACACGAAGCTGGTGGCCGAAGGGCTTCCCCTCCCAGGTGCCACTCCTCCCCACCTGCCCCGGGATGTGCAACCCCAGCCCTGGGTGGTGGCAGGAAGCACAGGTTCTTCCTGGCTTTTCACATTTAACGTAATTTACTCTTTGTCCGGCTTTATTGCTGACTTAAAAAAAAAAATCCAAGTGGCTCTTTTCCTCCCTCACTGCTTGAAGATCAACCTTCACCATGAACGGCACGGTAAGTATCCGAACCAGGAAGTTCACGGCCAACAGGCTACTTCAGTGGAAGCAAATGGCCACTGATGTCCTTCACCCTGGGAAGGCAACAGTCCCCAAGACCGAAACCCGGGGAAAACTAGCCACCGTGTGTAAGACCACACCTGACGCCATCTTTGTGTTTGGATTCGGAACCCCCTTTGGTGGTGGCAAGGCCACTGGCTTTGGCGTGATCTGATTCCTGGGATTACGCAAAGAAAAACGAACCCAAACAGACTTGCAAGACATGGCCTGTATGAGGAGAAGAAGACCTCAAGGAAACAGAAAGGAACGCAAGAACAGAAGGAAGACAGTCGGGGGACATGCTTCACCCACACTGTAGGTCAGGGCCAGCTTCAAGGCCTGAGACCCCTGCAAGCTCCCAGGACCGAACCAGAGGGCCTGTGCTTGGGGCAGTGCTCTTCGGTCACCATCGCGGGTTCTTGTAAGTCCCGAACGAGGAGCCCTGTGCTTCCCCCGTGCACCGAGCCCCACAGGTCCCGCAGCAGGCACGGCCCACAGGCGCACCTCGCCTTCCACCTCTCATCTCAACGCGGTGACAGGGACACAGATGGAGAGAGACCGTGGCCTCTACAAAGGAGTCACCTGTCTGTGCCCCTTCCACGGGGAGGCCTCAGGCCAGCAGCCAGGCACAGCTGGACCCCTAGCACGGGGGTGGGGGGGATGGGGGGGGAGGGTAGTCTTCTCAGGGGGCACACACCCAAAAGCAAAAAGCTGGGTGGGGGCAGTGCAGGTGGGTGGGCCTCAATCCTGACACTGTTGCTGCCTCTCCCTGGTGCTTCTGATCTGTAACACAGCCTTTCAGAGCCTCAGTCCCTCCTCTGTGAAATGGGTCACCAAACTGGCCCCATGAGTGAAGATGAAGTCAAGCCGTGTGCATTGAGCACCCAGCCCCGTGCCCATCTCCACCTGACTCTCCCCCCTCTCCCTTCCAACCCCTTTCTGATGCCGCTGCCGGGTCACCTCAAAGGGGCTTTGTCTTCTGCCTGAGAGGATCTCCCAGCACCCCGGGCTCAGAACCGTGATTGGGGCAGGCATGCAGATCCTGGGGGGCCTTACCGCTCCCTTTCTGGCTGCTGACAGTCAGGTTCTGGTGCAGCAGCACATTCTCAATGCAGCAGCCGACGTTCACGTGGGGGGTGCGCCGGATCCTCAGGACGCTGACCACGTCGTACAAGCCCTGTGCGTTCAGAGAGACGGTGCTGTTCTGCAGGGCCTCGTCCAGCAGGCTGTTGTCCGTCTTGTTGATCCAGTACACGTTTGGCCGGGGGTAGCCATCCTTGGACGTGCACGTGAAGGTGAGCTCCTCGTCCTGGGGGGCGGCCGTGGGGGCGCTGACCACGGGCATGCTGTAGTTTGCTGCAGGGGGAGAAACGGAGGTGAGGGGTGCCAGGTTCTGAAGGTCGGAAATGGAGGGGTACCCAGTGTCGGGGCCCAGGGCCAGGTTAGAGGGGAGGCGGCCCGCCGTGCCCCTGGCCCTGGTAGAGAGACAGGACCAGGGCTCTGGCCTGGGCAGCGGACACTGGCCCTGTTCTGCCCAAGGGTCACCCCCTCCCACTCCAACAGGGGAGTTACTGAGCCTGCGGGCAGGGGCTGTCATCTACTCCCCATTCCAAAGAGGCCGGCCACTTGCATCTAGTGACACGGAGAGCTTGCCGTCAGCTGAAAGGAACCGCCCATCTCTGAACCAGCAGTGCCCTGAGCATCTTGATTGGCTTTCATTTTCTCCCTAAATTCTGATCTCAAAACTCCTTCCTAATTTTATTTCAAAAATCTAATTTGAGCCCTGCCCGGTTTGGCTCAGTGGGTAGAGCATCAGCCTGAAGGGTCCCAGGTTCGATTCTGGTTTCGATTCCAGACAAGGGCACATGCCTGGGTTTCGGGCTTGGTTCCCAGTATGGGGGTGGGGAAGGGAGCCGATCAATGATTCTCTCTCATCATTGATGTTTCTATCTCTCTCTCCCTCTCTCAAATCAATATATATATATATATATATATTTTTAAAATGTCTAGTTTGAGTTGAGTTGGCTCATTCAAGGCAAAGACGGCAAGATTAGGAGTATTTCTGTGAGACCAGGGAGCCTCCGGTTATGAAAAACTTTCTTACGGGTTGATGCTTCAACCAACTCAGCTTCACGCACAGTGAAGCAGAAGGCTGCTCTTTGAGACTGGGATTTCCTTCATAGAAACAATCAGGTGAACGAGCCAGAAAATGGGCCTCCTTAATGCTTACTCCAGGCCAGGGGCTGGGATGAAGTCAGCTGTCAGCGTCAGCGCCCTTACCTGCCACGTGCAACGTGACCGTAACATTCAAAATTCGCTCTGTCATCTTCCTAAACACCAGGCAGTCATACTTCTGCTCGTCTTGCGGGGTGATGTTGTACAGACGCAGAGAGAAGTTGCCCTGCTTCATGCTGTCCAGTGACATCTGGGCCCGGTCCTTGTACCGGTTGTTGTCATGGCCGGTGGAGCTGTTCCCGGCCAGGGAGTAAGTCACAGGTTCTGGCTTGCCGCTAGCATCAGTGATTTGCCAATAAACATAAAGTTCATTTAAATCTAAACTCGTTTCTTTGGTGTAAATGCAGCTGAGCTCAACGTCGCTGCCCACCATCGCTCTGACTTCTTTTCCTTGACTATCTGCAGTGATTCAAAAAATGCATTTATTTTATGAGGTTGACTCTTACCTCGCCTGCGAAGTTTCTCTGGGGGGAGGGGCGGAAGTTTGGGGGAACTCTCTCACACACCAATTCTGACTCATTTCAGTAGAAAAGGAATGTATTCCTGAGATACACATAGGAATGCAATGTTTTAAAAATTCAGAATTTGCGGAAAGCTCCTGCGATGTATTGCCTAATGTTGACTTCCTGTCACTATGGAAGAGGCCAGTGATGGGAGAAGCAGGGGTGGCCCCTGGGACCAGGCTGCGCTCTGACTGCTGCTTCTTGGGAGCTTATATTTAATTCAACTGAAAGGGTCTTGTAAAAATGTAGACATTTAAAAGAAAACATCAGTTTCTTAACAACAGACTTATAAAGCTGCTCGCACTGCGCCAAGGCAGGCCCACGTGACGTGTCCAGACTGGCTTTCCCATCCGTGCCAACACTTGGAGGGCTGAGAAGTGGCCGCGCTCTGCCCTGCCTCGCCCCGAGCTGGGTACATCCCTGTTCCTTGCTCCCAGCTCCTCGGGAGGGCAGAGGACTGGAACACGCGGGAGGCGGTGCATTCCGCCTACACCCAACTAACGCAGATAAAACAAGAGCTACAGGGTCGAGACAAGCAACCCCTCTGTGGCTTTCAATCCCACCCGTGACCCAGGCTTGGGGCCCAGCGACCTCACAGGAGTCCCTGGAAAAACAAGAAGGGCTGTGGCAAGGCCCCCGCTGACTCCTGCACCCCGTGGCCCCACTCCCCACACCGAAGGGCTGGGAACTGGCCTCCGGACGATGAGGGCTGTCGGACTTACCGGCTTGCAGGCCGCTGAGCAGCAGGAGGAGCAGGCCAGCACTGGGAAGGAACCAGAAAGCCAGGTGAGGCCCCTTCTTCCAGAAGGTGAAGACGCCTGCCCACTGCAGGAGTGGGTCACACACCCACTGACAGCCAGCCCATCAGCCAGGCCCCTGCGGCAGGAGGCGCCCCCTCCCTGCCCAGCGCAGCAAGTCCCGAAGGGCCAGCATCCCCCACAACCAGCCAGCCCCCATGTTAACACCCCAACACGATGATGAAAGTGCGATAAAGGTAGTGAAAGACACTCCCAAGGCCACAGCTAGGACACCCTGGTGACCTAGCCATACAGGGACAGGGTCCAAGAAATTGTATGAAATCAGAAAAAAAGCACTTCCACAGTATTCATGGCAAGAGCTGCATTTAGTTTGGGGGAGAAAGAGAAGAGCTAAGATGCCCAGTGGCAGTCGGGGAGCTGCAGGACAACCCTCTGAGGAAGGAACTCATTCTGAAACCAAACGGGAGTCTCCTCCCAGCCGGTGGGCAGCTGGGCTGCGGGGGTGAAAGCTCCCCGACTCCCAGGCTCCTGGTGCCCTCAACCCAGCCACCCCCTCCTACCACCTCCCAGGATGCTGTGAGCCCTGAGCTCTGGGCAGAGACCCCTGCCCCACCCCTGACAGCTGTCGTCTGACTCTATAGAGGCATGTCCCTTGCCACCAGGGGCTCCCCATGCCCCACGGAGGCCACAGCCTGCGGGTGGGGCTGTCCTCTCTCACTGTCCCTATTGGGGCCGCCATTCCTGTTTGTGGGGTCAGCTGTGATGACCACCTCCAGTCTTGACCCCTCCAACCGTCTTCCTGAGCCAGAGCAGCCTTCTAAAATACAGAGCTATGAGGACGCCTCTGTGGCCCCCATTTCTCTGCCATGGAGCCCACCTACGGGTGCTCACGAGGCCGCCCTGTCTGTGCTCAGGGTCCAAGGCACACGCGTGCACCTGTCAGGGCCTCTGGGCTCCTGTGAGCCTTGTTCTGGGTGCTGCCTGCATGCGAGTCTCTCTGTACCTCCCCCTGGTCCTCGGATCCCTGCTGTCAAACACTACCCGCCCCCCCACGGCCCACCACCCTTGCCTGCACCCCGTCACCGCCCTGCCTCCCGCTCCAGCCCACCCTCCTTGAGTCAGACAGACAGGGGCACGGTTCCCAGGTGAGGGTGGCTGGTGGCTGTGACAGTCTAGGACGATTTTTTTCTCTTCTGAGCAAACAGAACACTGTAAAGCTACCCACATGTCTGACTGGGGAGGCTGGGCTGCGGGACCCGGGTGTGGGCAGGCTTGTGGGCTGTGTGGCTGGGAACCTGGGGACCAGGTGCCTCACCCGTTTATCAAGGGAGTCAAAGGCTGTTAGCCGTACTACCCTGAAGGTGGTGTTGTGGCAAAAAGCTAGGAACAAAGCTGCCCCCCCAACCCCCCACCCCACCCAGGCCCACCTTCCCAGTTTGGCTCTGCTGATAGGGGAGGGGGAATCCCCATGGGTTCTGGGAGTCAGGGCGGCACCGCTGGCCTAGAGGTATCATATCCTTCATTCTTCCACCCGGCAGTTCTCTGGGGCCAGGAGGGAGGGGCAAGGAGTGAGGCAGGGGTGGGGGGAGCGAGCGCTTTCCCTTCCCTTCCCAGGGACCCGCCTCCTAGCACACCCACGCACTGCCCTCCGCCCCACGCACTGCCCTCCGCCCCACACACTGCCGTCGGTCCCCATGCCACCCCTGGGCGGATGCCACCGACTAGCAGGTAACCGCACCCGCCCGCCCTGCCCGATGCCCGGTGCCGGCCCTTCCCGATGCCCGGTGCCGGCCCTGCCCGATGCCCGGTGCCGGCCCTGCCCGATGCCGCCGGGCTCCTGGCTGCCTATCCTCCGCGCGGACCCGCCGCTCCGCCGCCAGATGAGTGCGTCCCCGGACGCGATCCCCGGCGGGGCGCCCTGGGTCGGTCCCTCCTGGGCACCCAGCTCCCTACGGTGACGCCTCCGCTTCTTTCCCGGCTCCCGCAGGGCCCGGCCAATGGCTCTCACCTTCTTAGCCTCATGGTGGAAGCGAAGACCTCGGAGCGCGGGAGACCTCGGAGCGCAGGGACCTCGCGCCGCCTCCGCCTCCGCCGAGCCGGGCTCCGACTGCGTGCTGCGCGCCCGCCTGGACACCGTTTCTGGCGCGGAAGGCGAACGGGGCTCGGCCCCGCCCCCGCCCCGCCCACGGCCCCGCCCACGGCCCCAGCCTGAGGCGGAGCGCCTCGGAACGGAAGCTCGGCCACCCGTCTTCAGGCGCTCAAGTGGGCCCCGTGGGCGCCGGGCCACGGGCGTGGGTGCTGCAGGTGCCCGGGAAGTTGCGGGGAGTGGGCACCAGGGAGAGGGCGGCCGTGCGCGCTGTGGAAGGGCCGCCCGAGTGGAAGGGCCTTGGAAGGCTAAGTGCTGCCCCCCGAAGTCGCGCAGACCGCCCCTGCGGCCCCAGGTTCCGGCCCTAGGCCCCCCTCTCCCCCCGCCCTCCCCCCCCCGTACCTGCAGCTCTCAGGTGAAGTGAGCTCACACCTGGAATGAATGGATGGATGGATGGAAGGAGGGGAGGCCCTGGGTGTACCCCTCCTGCCCCCCAGCTTTGCTCTCCGGTCCTGCAACACGTTTGCACATCGAAGGCTCTGAAAGGCCCGCCGCGTGGACACCACTTGGTCTTGGCTCCTCCACGTTGGTGAGACCTGGCCCTCTTGTTTTTTGCTCGGTTCCCCGCCCAGCCCTCTGGGCCCCCTGGGCCAGTGCTCCCCACTCCCGCCCTCACGGGCCAGGTGTGTGCCGCTGAGGTGAGGGAGGTGAGGGAGGTGGGGCCACGAGGGAACAGGGTGCCCTCCCTGCAGAGGCCCCGGGAAGGGCCTGGGATCCAAGGCCCCCAGCTCAGGTCTGGGGCCCAGGTCCCCGTGGAGCAGGCAGGAGGGGTGTGTCTGGGCGCCCAGGCTGATTCAGAGGTAGAGGCCCGCCTCTGGGGGGCGGGAGAGGCCAGGTGAAGGGGAGGGCGGAGCCAAGGGGCCTCCCTGGCCCCAGCCACCTTCTGCACGTTGTCACTCACCCCACAGATTCAGTGCACAGCTGCTGGGAGACGGGACGCAGGCTGCAGATGACAAGCCTGGACGAGAGGGCTGGCTGCCAGGAGGGAGTGGACTTGCGGTTCTCAAACCTGGGCTCCACCCGGCCGGGCGAGTGGAGAGTAGGGACGGGGGACAGGAAGGGCAGATATCATCTGAACTGGGGGGAGGGGGAGAAGGAAATATAAGATTTGGCTAGGAGCGCAGGGCGTGGACATACATCAAATGGCGCGCGGGTGTGAGTACCGGACTCACCCCATTCCTGGAGCCAGAAAACCAATCTGCCCAGGGCCGCAGCTGGAGCAAATGCAGGCAGGGGCGAGGGACGGGGACAGCTCGTCAGTCCCAGTGGAGCCGCAGGGGACCTGATTTCTGTGGCCTCGGTTCTTCTCCCCATGGGTGGCAGCAGCTGGCAAAGGAAGACAGAGTTTGGGGAGGGCCGGCCTCAGGTTCTCCCGCAGACTGGGCAGGAGGACGGGGCTGGGTGCGCCTCCCCTCCCCCACCTGGCCGCGATCAGCCCCGCCCTCTAATCCGGAAGCTTTCCGATTGGTTAGGCTTCACTGACAGGCTGTCATTTTACTTCCCCGCTTCCAGACGAATCCCTGCTTTGACCTCAGGGATGCTGAATGGGAAGGGGTGGATCCCATGTACAATCTCGGGGGCTGTTGAGGAGGAGCGGGTCTTGGGGGAGGGAGAACCCCCCTGTGGAGCTTAGAAGGGAAAGTGCCCTCAGTGCAGCCTGGGCACTGCCCCAAAGCAGGTGGGAGGCAGGGGAGAGGCCTTTAAGGGGACCACAGGTAGAGCTGGCAGGAGCTGAGGCTGGTGCGGGAGGAGCCAAGCTCTGCTTCCCGGGCAGCCCCAGACCCAGAAGGCCAGGCGCACCGGAGTGGGGAACTCTGGATGGAGGAAAAGACTGCGCTGAGCAGGCAGTGAAGTGGCAGGGAGTGCAGCTGCCATGGAGGGAGGGGCACCCCAGGAGTGGGACCAAGGCCAGCCCCAGAATCCCCCACTGGAGAAGTGCATGCTGGCTTCCTCTCCCAACTCTGCCATTCAGGGGCTGTGTGACCTCAGAAAGTTAACCTTCTGTGCCTGCATTGTCCCCTTGTGAAGTGGGGAGAGTGATAAGATGTCCCTCATAAAGCAGCTGAGCTAATGCATGGATTACAGAGTTTTTTGTTGTTGTTTTTTAAAATATATTTTATTGATTTTTTACGGAGAGGAAAGGAGAGGGATAGAGAGTTAGAAACATCGATCAGCCACCTCCTGCACACACCCCCACTGGGGATGTGCCTGCAACCAAGGTACATGCCCTTGAGCAGAATCGAACCCGGAACCCTCCAGTCCACAGGCCGACGCTCTATCCACTGAGCCAAACTGGCCAGGGCAAGGATTACAGAGCTTTGAGACAAATGGGAAAAGACCACAGTGGGGGGCAGTGGGGAGAGAACCCGGCCTGGAGGAATAGCTGGGCAGACCTGGGGACCAAGTAGGAGTTGTGCTCATGCCGGGGACTTGAAGCTCTGGGTGTAGATGTGGAAGCCAGAGGGGCCACTTTCAGCCAAACTCAGAGTGTCCCAGAAAGGGGCTCTGTGGATGGGGTTTAAATAGCTAGAGGGGGATCTCCAGGTATCTGTGAGCGAACTGAATGCATAAAGCTGTCCCGAGGGGCTCTGGCATTCCTGGGAGCACTCTGATGGGAAGTGGACAGTAATTAGGATGAACCCTGTGGCGTCAGTTCCTGGAGTGGAAGCATCCTGGAGCCAGCCGTCCACGGCATAGCCACCGCTTGACCCCCAGGGAGGTCTTATCTGTGCCTGGATGACCGGTCCCCTGGCCCCCTCTGCGTTTCTGGGGCTGCCATGCACTGCCCTTGGTTTCATTGCAGATCTTGCTAAATTAGCCCCTGGACATAGGACCTGCCTCAGAGCCCAGGACTGTCCTGTCCACTGTCGAGGTTCACATTGACCAATGTTTCTCAGGGCTCTCCAGAGAAACAAAACCAACAGGACTATATATATATATATAAATTCTCTCTCTTCTCTTCCTACTCCTCCCCTGGCTTCCCTGAATTTCCTCTCCTCCTTCTCAGAGGCCAGACGCCCTCTTGGTCTCAGGCAGAGCTGTCTGCACCGTATCTTGAGTGCGTGGCCAGAGAGACAGTTTCCCGGCTCCTTCTCCGATGCCTTCAGCTTATCAAAACATTTCCCAAACAAGGACTGCTTCCTGCCTGAGAATTCTACCACCTGCCGTGAAGATCAAAACATTTCCCCTCATGTTAGCATCATGCCTGGGCTAGAGAAGTGTTCCGAGATCCTCCAGGAAACCCTCAGGAGGAATGTTTTTGTGACAAACCGGGAAGATATCGAGAGCAAGAACAGACGTTTAGACTCACAGAGCTCATTACAGCAGGAAAACTTCCAATAAATCCTATTGTTTTTAGGAAATAATCTAGTTCAAGAGCTTCTAAATCAGAGGAAGGAAAAGGAGGGACAGGAAGAGGGAAAAAAGGAGGCTTCACCCCCAGGGGCCTTAGGGGAGCATTTGGGTCTTCCCCTTAGTATCATTATGAGAGAGAGAGAGAGAGAGAGAGAGAGAGAGAGAGAGAGAGAGAGATTATTTCAAGGACACTGGAGCCCACAGGTGGTGCAGAACACCGAGGTCAGCCCTGGTTCCTTCAGTGGCTTGCATGAGGCCCATTGTCTCGGTCCCATCAGGCTGCTAGAACAGAGCACCACATACAGGGCGCTGGAGGCTGGAAGTGGGGGGTCGGGGAGCCAGCACAGTCAGGTAGGAGCCCTTCTCGTGGGTCCTCACATGGTGGAAGGTTCGCTGGTGCCTCTTTGATTCGGGCACTGATCTCAGTTTGGAGTCAGCTCCAAAGGCCTCACCTCCTCACACCTTCATGTTGGGGTTAGGACCTCAACATATGAGTGTGGTTCGGGAACCCACGTTCAGACCACGGCACCCACCCACCGTATGGAGGGTGGTCTGCTTTACTCAGTCCCCCGAGTTAAATGTTCATCTCACCCAGAACAATGTTCGAACACATGTCTGGGCACCTGGCCCAGCCAAGTTGACAGAGAAAATGAACCATGACACAGCTAATCCCCTTAACAATGTACGTATTTTTAAAAATCTTCAACAAAAGATCCAATTTTAGCCCAACCTTTCTTCCACAAAGTGTCTTACATCCCACGAACAGTACCAAGCCCTGGCCGTCATGCCCAGGACAAGCTGAGTGGTCAGTGACCTCAGCCTAGGTCCCTTTGGGGGGTCCTGGCTGATCTGGAAAGATCCCTTTAGGTTCCAGCTCGAACCAATGCTCTGCAAGGATCTCCCCTCCCCGGAGCCCAGCGAGGAGCCCAGCGAGGACGGGAAGGCTGCACATGGCACAGCGGGTTAGGGTTAGGGTTAGGGTTAGGGTATCTGGCCTCCACCTCACTGCTGTCTCCTCATCCCTTCTCCCTTTGCTCACCAAGCTCGGAGTTCTGCACTTTGCTGAGGCCTGGGCTGCTGTGCGGCTGCCAGCCGGGTGTGTGGTCGCGTGACAGCATCGCGCCTGCACCTGTGGAGCGCCTGCCACAGGCCCCTGGGCAGTGTGTCCTGCTCGTCGTTCTCACCCACAGCCCGTGCCCTACAGCGTAAAGGCCGTGCGTACACATCAAAACACCAAAAATGACCACTAGCCCGCGTAATAAGTGTATTTTTAATTCCTCACACAGCACACAGAAACACTTTCAGCAGCACACGTGCACTGGGACATCAGGGTGTTGTCCCTGGTGAGATGCCGGGCACTTCGCCCCCTCCCGGGAAGGAGGGTGGGGGTGGGGAGGAGGGGGCGGCGGCTACATCTCCAGACCCAAAGGGAGAGGGGTCTGGGGCCACCACAGGACATCCAAGGTCAAGCAAATAAAATAATCATTTGAAGAGGACAATGGAGACAATATCAGGAAAGTTATCTCAGTTCTAAGAAAGGTCTTTCTTTTTTCGCGGTATAATGACTCACTTATAAAGAGGAAGTGAGTTCGGTTGAAAATACTTGAAATATTCTCGAAGTGGGAGGAAACACTTCTTCACCAGCGAGGCCGGCCCGGGGGCAGCGGCCCGTGCTCTCTGCCGGTCCTGGGCCAGCTGGGACAGCTCCTCGGGGGGCACCTGGGCCGAATGCCTGCTGCGGGGGGAGGGGGCAGCCCGTCACCCACGGAGCCCACGCTCTCAGGGCAGGGCTGCTGGCGATGGGCGGATTATTCAGTCTCTCCCATAAACACCCCGTCCTGCTTGCATGTCCTGGGCCTCAGGGGACGAGATGGCCCCACCCCTCCCACCTCCCTCGGTCCTGTGAGAAGCTGCTGAAAGGCCGAGGGTCCCCCAGGACAGATCTTGGCCCACATGGAGAGTCCCCCTTTCAGGGAGAAGAAGGCATCATGGAGAGACCCCACAGAGAAGAATGTCATTCCCAAGGAATCCTGATCTACCCAAGACCGAGGCCTGAGCAGGGCCCAGGGGTCCTGTGACAGCCGTGCTGCAGACCCCACATGAGGGGCAGGTGGGTGGGGAAAGCACCTGACCCCAACTTGCAATGTGATGCAACCCCTGGGACTCCGGGCTTCGTGAACATGGCGCCCAGCACTGGTGTCTCATGCTCCCAGGCACCCACTGCCGTCAGACACATTCCCTGGTTCACTTTGCAAGGCCAGGGATGAGGCGCCAGAAACACGCAGGGCTGCTCCTGGCAACCCCCTTCCCCCCACCAACACACCCCCCGGGGAAGCTTGTCTGGCAGAGGGGTGACATGGCCATCCAGGCAGCCGCCCACCCTCTCAGCAGGATGAAGTCTGCCTTCAGTGAGGGGCCCCTCCTCCCGTTAGGACAGCAGGAGCCTGAGCGGACCTGCCCTTCAAAGCAGGGGCTTCCAGCCCGTTTCCGGGAACCAGCTGGGGCGGGAGCCAGCTGGTGGGCAGGGCAGGAGAATAGGCGTAAGCACCACCCGCAGAATGACCGTCCTGGCTTCAGGGAAAACAGCCCGGAAAGCCGCCCCACATTAGCCGCACCTAACACTGATCCTGGACGTGGGCCTGGCGAGGGGAGCGTCTGGGCCTGGGGTGGGTGGGAAAGGCTCCAGCAGCCACTGTGGGGAGGAGTCAGGACCCACTGCCCCCGAAGATGCGTCAGTGACTCACACGGGGCTGCCCGGGGCGGGGTGCCATGGAGGAGCCAGCTGCTCCCTCCAGGGCAGGACCGTGTGGGGTGAGAGGGAGCCCGGGCAGGTGTCCCGGAGCAGGCTGCCCGAGGAGCAGGTTGACACGGCCCAGGGGGAGGGGGTGTTGCGGGAGGAAGTGGAGCAGAGAGACTGCTCAGGAGCAGGAATAGTCGGGAGAGTGTCTGGTGGGTGCGGAGGGGTGTGTACGTGGGCTTGTGTGAGTGTGTGTCAATGGGTGGGGGGGTGTGAGTGCGGGAGCTTGTGTGATTGTGTGTCAATGGGTGGGGGGATGTGAGTGCGGGAGCTTATGTGAGTGTGTCAATGGGTGGGGGTGTGTGAGTGTGCATGAGCTTATGTGAGTGTGTCAATGGGTGGGGGTGTGTGAGTGTGAGAGCTTGTGTGAGTGTGTGTCAATGAGTGGGGGTGTGTGAGTGTGCATGAGCTTATGTGAGTGTGTCAATGGGTGGGGGTGTGTGAGTGTGAGAGCTTGTGTGAGTGTGTGTCAATGAGTGGGGGGGTGTGAGTGTGCATGAGCTTATGTGAGTGTGTCAATGAGTGGGGGGGTGTGAGTGTGCGTGAGCTTATGTGATTGTGTGTCAATGGGTGGGGGTGTGTGAGGGCGAGAGCTTGTGTGAGTGTGTGTCAATGAGTGGGGGGGTGTGAGTGTGCATGAGCTTATGTGAGTGTGTCAATGGGTGGGGGTGTGTGAGTGTGCATGAGCTTATGTGAGTGTGTCAATGGGTGGGGGTGTGTGAGGGCGAGAGCTTGTGTGAGTGTGTGTCAATGAGTGGGGGGGTGTGAGTGTGCATGAGCTTATGTGAGTGTGTCAATGAGTGGGGGGGTGTGAGTGTGCATGAGCTTATGTGAGTGTGTCAATGGGTGGGGGTGTGTGAGTGCGGGAGCTTGTGTGAGTGATTGTGTGTCAATGGGTGGGGGGGTGTGAGTGCGGGAGCTTATGTGAGTGTGTGTCAATGGGTGGGGGTGTGAGTGCGGGAGCTTATGTGATTGTGTGTCAATGGGTGGAGGTGTGAGTGCGGGAGCTTATGTGAGTGTGTGTCAATGAGTGGGGGTGAGAGAGTGAGCGGGGCTGTGAGGGTGAGTGTCCGGGGTGTAGGGTGGGCTGTGCTGCCGAAGCCTGCAAAGTCCTGGGGTGAGAACCTCAGGAGCGTTCGTGCAACAGCTTTTGGGGAGAAGGTCCCCAAAGTGGAAGGGGTGTCCCTGACCTTGAGCACGCCCAGAATTTTTGGGGTTGCCTCAGAGACCCACCAGACATAGGTCCGGACCTGGGCAGAGAGACTGCTGGGCATGGCTGGCTCCCTGTCCCCTCAGACTCCTGTCTCCTTGATGGCCAGTGTCCCTCCTCGCTCCCAAAGGGCTTGAGTGCACAGGAAATACCTCTTCACGGCCGGGATGTTGCTCCACACATGCACGGCGTTCCGGACGGCTCTGCCGCAGGTGTCCAGGATGGTCACGGGGTCTGTCTGGGGTGGAAACATCGGCTGTGGATACAGGTGGCCTGGACAATAGCCTCTGTCCGTCCCCTGGGCTGGCCCAAGGCCTTGGCCACCGTGGGAACCATGTGTGGCCCTCAGAATTGGGTCAACAGTCTTCCCAGACTGTCTACGTTCCCCAGTCCACACTGCTGCACATCACATCTTACCTTTATATATAAAAGGCTAACATGCAAAGTGTCCCCTTGGGAGTTCAACCGGGAGTTCTATCACTTGCTATGATGTGCACTGACCACCAGGGGTTGGCGCGGAACGAAGGAAGGCCTGGGCTGCAGCCAGAAGGCCCAGATCGGCCCTGATTGCTGGCCAGGCCTAGGGACCCTACCCATGCATGAATTTCATGCACTGGGCCTCTAGTTTTCCTTATAAATCCCTAATGAGGGAGGGGAAACAGATATTATTTTAAAACTTTTAATTGGTTGTTGGTGTTTTGTTCCCAGGGTCATGTGACCCAGGGACGCCCTGCCAGCTCAGGCACCAGGTGGACTGCTATGCAGATCAAGAGTCTGTGGTCTTTGTGCCGAGGGGTGTGTGTCTCAGGGACATGAGCGCGGTGCTGGCAGAGGAGGCTATCGTAAAGGACCTTTGCTTCACGGCGCAAGTGGCCGCCTGGCCCTGGGGTCACTGTCTCCCTAAAAGGCACTGGAAGGACAAGGGAGGAGAGAACAGGAGGGACAGACCTTCCACCATTGGGAGGAGGAGCCTCAGAAGGGAGAGGGGCATGAAGGAGAAACTGAGGCAAGAGGTCATCATCCCCCAACACACAACGAAAGGTGGCCTTGACTCTACCTCCCCAGACAGGCCCATGCGGACCGTTCCTGAGCCCCACCACCCTGGGACACACAGCCTCCTCCTGTATCAGCACCAGCCTGGGAAGAGAGACAGCTGCACCGTCAGTGGCCGGTGGCTGGAGCCCACGGGAACGGTGCCTACAGCTAGCAGGTTAAGATGTTCCCAGCCACCAGCAGGGATGAGGTTCCACAGCAAGATGGGAGCAGTTATAGCAAGTAAGGGAAGCCCTAGCCGGTTTGGCTCAGTGATGGAGCATCAGCTGCGGACTGAAGGGTACCGAGTTCGATTCCGGTCAAGGGCATACCTTGGTTGCAGGCTCCTCCCCATCCCGGGCCCTGGTCAGGGCACGTGCAGGAGACAACCTACGGATGTGTTTCTCTCATATCAATGTTTCTCTCTGTCTTTCCCCTCTCTTCCACTCTCTCTAAAAATAAAATCAATGGAAAAATATCCTTGGGAGAATAATTTTTAAAAAAAGAGGTTGATTTCCACACCTAAGTTGATTAAGAATGAAGAGACGAGAGTAGTGAGATGAAGGGTTTAGGGAAAGCTAACACACAAAGCCAACAATGTCCATTACAAAAAGTAAAATAAGAGAAGTTCCCTTTTTTGGCTACTTCTAATTTGGAACCAATTTGGATCTATTAAATGTATATAAAAAAACAATAAAAATCAGGATTTTTGCTTACCTGACTGCTGTTATGTGGCAACATGTTAGAGTTTTGAAAATCCCAGAGTCCTTAAGAAGGAGAAATAAGTACAGACAGGGAAGTACAAGAATTGCGAGGCCACCTTGCTCAACTCCATGAAAAGCTTTTTAAAATTAAAATGAAACGGATTATGTTCTAGGAAAACAGAACTGGAAAACAGAACTTGCCAAACTGATCTCCAAAAAAATCCTTACAGATTTCTGTTCCCACAGAAGAGCTAACTCCCATTTAAAAATAACAACAACAGCCCTAACCAGTTTGGCTCAGTGGATAGAGCGTCAGCCTGTGGACTCAAGGGTCCCGGGTTCGATTCCGGTCAAGGGCATGTACCTTGGTTGTGGGCACATCCCCAGTGGGGAGTGTGCAGGAGGCAGCTGATCGATGTTTCTCTCTCATCGATGTTTCTAACTCTCTATCCCTCTCCCTTCCTCTCTGTAAAAAATTTAATAAAATATATTGGGGAAAAAATATATAAAATAACAGCAAAAACAACTAAGCCAGACCATTTCACAGGAGAATTCTGTCAATTTTCCAAATAATTTTTATGAATCAAGCTTAACACTGGTACCCAAACCCAACAAAGATGGCACAAAACAATAAAACCACATACTTCTCTCTCTCATGCTGGTCACAGCAAAAACCCCAAAATTCAGCAATACGTTATGTTAGCAGAATATACATCATGCACCACTAAGTGGATTTTTTTCCAGGAATGCAAGCACGGTTCATTATTAGGAAATCTATTAATATATTATACCAGAGGCCCAGTGCATGACATTCGTGCACTGGTGGGGGATGTGGGAGGGGGTCCCTCAGCCCGGCCTGAGCCCTTTCACAGTTCCGGTGCACTCGGGGATGTCCGACTGATGGCCTTAGCGCTGCTGTGGGGGTGAGAGAGGCTCCCACCACCGCTGCTGCACTCGCCAGCCCTGAGAGCACACTGACCACCAGGGGGCAGCTCCTACATTGAGCATCTGTCCTCTGGTGGTCAGTGCGTGTCATAGCGACTGGCTGTTCTGCTGTCCAGTCGATTTGCATATTACCCTTTTATTATATAGGATCTTATTAGTAGCTTGAAAGAGAAAAATTATCTAATTATCTCCACTGACATTAGAAAGAACATTTGACAAAATCCAACAGCTATTTTTGATAAAATTATTCACAAAATAGAAATCGATGGAAACTTCCTTAGCCTAGTGAAATCTACCAGCCTCACCCTCAGGCCAGCATCAGCTCAGCCGGGAGGCACGGGCAGCGTTTCCGTGGAAGTCGGACAAGAAAGACCGCTGCTGTGATTCATTGTTGTCCCAGAGGCAACAGCAGGAGACAAGAGAAAGGTGCCTGAGGTGTAAAACTCGAAGGAAACCACCGTCTCAAGTGGCAGGTGATCTGCTCAAACACCTAGAAAGCCTAATGGAACCTACTGAAAACTACGGTAAATTAGAAGGTCATTCGATCAGGCAGCAGGAGCAAAATTAAGGCACAGCAATCAATAGCCTCCTGTGTGCAAGGCAAAACCAGTTAGAAGAAGAGACGAAGATCCCAGCTGCTACAGGGCACTTGGACAAAAGTAACAGGAACTGCACCAGAGAGCTGGTGCCACCTGGGCAGGGCCAGGAAAGCGGGCAGGGGGAGGGGGCAGGGGCCAGGACAACCCTGCCCCTGCTGCCCCGAGGCCACCGGGCCACCTGTGGAAGTGACAGGCACTCACACACGCACCTTCATCGCATCCGTGCCTGTGGGAGCGAAGGTTAGAAACCACCTCCTACCCCAGCACGGAGCAGGTTCATTCATTTGTTATGTCCATGCAGAGTGAAACGGAGGAAAGTGAAACGAAACAAAACACAAACTAAAACAAGGAAAGAGGAGGTCCTCTGTACAGGAGGATCTGGTTCTGGGAAAATGAGCCGGACACAGAGGAGGAGGAGGAGGAGGAGGAGGAGAGGGAGGACACGGAGGAGGGCAGCGTGGGCAGAGCCGCTGCATTTGCATAAAGAACCCTGGAGGTGACCAAGAGGCTGGAGGTTGGACAGATGGGGGTCAGGACGGCAAGGGCACTGTTGGCCTTACATTTGGATGTGAAGCACGCGCCCTGTGAGGAGAGGACACCAGGCTCAACCGGGGGCTGCCCTGTGCGTGGGGAGGGACTCAGCCCTGGGCAGAGCTGGCCCTGAGTCCTGGCTGCCCTCAGGGTCAGGATTCAGATACACGGAGAGAAAACACAGTTGTCGGTGCCCCGGAGGGTGTGTGTGTGAGTGTGGGATTATATGTTAGTGTGTGCCAGTCGGAGGGTGTGTGTGTGTGAGTGTGTGGGATTATATGTTAGTGTGTGCCAGTCGGAGGGTGTGTGTGTGTGAGTGTGTGGGATTATACGTTAGTGTGTGCCAGTCGGAGGGGGTGTGTGTGTGAGTGTGTGGGATTATATGTTAGTGTGTGCCAGTCGGAGGGTGTGTGTGTGTGAGTGTGTGGGATTATATGTTAGTGTGTGCCAGTCGGAGGGGGTGTGTGTGTGAGTGTGGGATTATATGTTAGTGTGTGCCAGTCGGAGGGTGTGTGTGTGTGAGTGTGGGATTATATGTTAGTGTGTGCCAGTCGGAGGGTGTGTGTGTGTGAGTGTGTGGGATTATACATTAGTGTGTGCCAGTCGGAGGGGGTGTGTGTGTGAGTGTGTGGGATTATATGTTAGTGTGTGCCAGTCGGAGGGTGTGTGTGTGTGAGTGTGTGGGATTATATGTTAGTGTGTGCCAGTCGGAGGGTGTGTGTGTGTGAGTGTGGGATTATATGTTAGTGTGTGCCAGTCGGAGGGGGTGTGTGTGTGAGTGTGTGGGATTATATGTTAGTGTGTGCCAGTCGGAGGGTGTGTGTGTGTGAGTGTGGGATTATATGTTAGTGTGTGCCAGTCGGAGGGTGTGTGTGAATGTGTGGGATTATATGTTAGTGTGTGCCAGTAGGAAGGGGTGTGTGTGTGAGTGTGGGATTATATGTTAGTGTGTGCCAGTCGGAGGGGGTGTGTGTGTGAGTGTGGGATTATATGTTAGTGTGTGCCAGTCGGAGGGTGTGTGTGTGTGAGTGTGTGGGATTATATGTTAGTGTGTGCCAGTCGGAGGGGGTGTGTGTGTGAGTGTGGGATTATATGTTAGTGTGTGCCAGTCGGAGGGTGTGTGTGTGTGAGTGTGTGGGATTATATGTTAGTGTGTGCCAGTCGGAGGGGGGGTGTGTGTGAATGTGTGGGATTATATGTTAGTGTGTGCCAGTCAGAGGGTGTGTGTGTGAGTGTGTGGGATTATATGTTAGTGTGTGCCAGTCGGAGGGTGTGTGTGAATGTGTGGGATTATATGTTAGTGTGTGCCAGTCGGAGGGTGTGTGTGTGAGTGTGTGGGATTATATGTTAGTGTGTGCCAATCGGAGGGTGTGTGTGAATGTGTGGGAGTATATGTTAGTGTGTGCCAGTCAGAGGGTGTGTGTGTGAATGTGTGGGATTATATGTTAGTGTGTGCCAGTCGGAGGGTGTGTGTGTGAATGTGTGGAATTATATGTTAGTGTGTGCCAGTCGTTTGTGCACCGCATACGGTGGTGTACGTGGTGTGTGCGTGTGCGCGTGTGCACAGGTGGAGAGCCCGGTGGTGTATCCTGAGCGTAGCGTGAAGGGGACACCCTCTGAGACCACCGTGAAGGGGTCATGCCCTAATGGCAAGGCGACCCTCAGGGTCCCTGTGAACTCTGAAACCCGAGGCCTCAGGGGTCAGACCCTAGACCGCCACCCGGGACCCAGGCTGAGTGTTCTGGAGGAGGCCGGCCTGGCTGGCATCAGAGGCCCCGCACGCACCTCCAGGAAGCGTGTGGCGATGACGCGGTCGTCCTCGGTCAGCATCAGGTTGTCCACGAACATCCAGAAGAAGGGCTGTGCGCCGCCGGGCCGGGGCTGCGAGTACTGCAGGATGCGGTGGAACTGGAACAGGTACCAGCCTGGGGGACATCGGGCGCGTCTGGCTCTGCCCGGCAGGGGGGCATGGGCACAGGGGCAGGGAGGGGTGGGGACTGCGGAAGGACCCGTTCCGTGTGGCCGGTCTGGGCCCTCGGTGCCCACTACTGCCCAGGATAGTTCTGTGCCCCTAGGGCCGGCTGTCACCCAGTGTGCTGACCCAGCCTCACCCAGCACCTGGCTTTAAGGCGCAGAGGCGGTTAAAACAAGGCAGGGCTTGCAGGTGGAAGGGGCAGGACAGGGTCAGAGGGGCCTGGGATGGGCGATGGCCTCACAGGGAACCCATGTCAGAGCACATCACATGGTACTTGCTGAACATGGACATTTCAATGGATATCAATCAGTGATCCCCCAATGAAGCTGTTTTTATAAAATGCTGTCAGCTTGTAATTCCGCCCTCCCAGAGGGCCATGGCGCGGGGGGAGTTTGGGATGAGAGAGCCCAGGTATTGGGGCAAAGGGTGCTCTTACCTGGAGGGTGGTCACAGGCCTGGCGGAGGGGAGGTGTGCAGCCGTACACGAGGTCAAACGGGCCCCACTCTTCCACCTGCAGGACACGGGACAGGGGGACGTGTGCAGTGTGGGCGGCCTGTCCCAGCAGCAGGCTCCCGTGTGCCCAGCGGTGACACCCACAGGCGGGCAGTGAGGCCGCCGGGTCAGACCCACCAGTGACCTTGTCAGTCACCATCGGCCTCGGGACCTTCGGGGCTGCCTGTCATCACTGCAGGAGGGGCTGGCCCTCCCCGGTCACTGGGAGCCCGAGTGACTGCCCGTGGCAGGCGTCACCCTGCAGGTCGCTCCCGGGAACGTCAGTGCACTGACCCGGGACTCAGGGGCTGTGAAGTGCTCCAGCCACGCTGGATGCTGTTAGGCACTTGGTCTGAGGCCTCAGTCCAGGACATAGGAGATGGCCTTCAAGGAGCCAAGACATTTCATGGTGGAAATGTATGTCTGGGGGACGTTTTCAATCTGCCCGGGTTCATTTTAGAGGGGGGTGGGGATTCGCCCCCTCTCTGGGCAGCACCATCACCGGTGGTGGGACTGGCCCCTTGGATTTCAGCAAGTTGAATAGGAGGTTTGGCCGATCGCTCTGCTCTGGGCTGTGGCCAGTGTGGGGGCCAGGAAAATGCCCCTCATCTCTCCTACTGCAGGGCGAACCGCCAGCAACTGTGAGGACGAGTGCCAATTCCTGTGAGACCCTCACGTCGGCCAGGCTGGGGCCAGAGCTGGGCAGCATCTGGGCTGTCCGCAGCCCCCTGCCCACACCCCCACCCGGGACCGCGTGCACACCCGCTTCCATCTTGGCGCTTGGACGGACATGCTGTACTCACGTTCCTCCTCACCACGTTGGTAACATCATCCAGATATTTCAGTCTTCCTGAGCCAGAAACACTCTCCAAAAAGCCCAAACTCGTCAGCTCTGGGTGAGGAAAAATAAGGGCACAGAACACATTGACTCTGAGCCCAACCGGAACCAAAAGGCCCACAAATGACCCGAAAAGCAAGCTTTATCTTTCTAGCGACTCGATGGGGACTGAGGAGGGAATAAGGATGAAGGTGTGTTGCATTGTAAGCGAAGCAAGCAAACTCCCCGAGTACTGATTTGAGAAAGTCAGGCGGATTGTGCGATGTCGGCCACACCCTGGGTTAGGAAATCCAGATGGCACCCGGCCAGGCTGAGTGATGCAGTGGGTGGGCTGCTGGAACCCCGGTCCGCCCTGCCCTGGAGAGTCTGTGGCCGGGGGACAGGAAGAGCCCGGAAAGGACCTTACAAATGGGCTCGGGGATGCGTCCCTGGCAGGAGATGAAGGCGGGGGCGTGGCCTGGCTCCCGGGTGCCTTCAGCTGGAAGTTGTGCCCACTGTGAGTCTCAGCCCCTGGCGTGGCTCGGTGCTTGAGGCTCAGTGACCACTGCTCAGGGCGGGGGGCACAGGCCAGAAGAGGGGCGGGTTCCCATGCCATTTGGCCTGGGACTAGGATGTATTTCCATGCATTCACTCTTGTGGCTGCAGAGCCCAGAAGAATCTGTGATATCCAATGGCACCAGCAGGGGGCGGTCAGCTGGGGGTCCAGAGAGGCACACCCGGGCAAGGCTGGAGCGCAGCAGTGCGAGTGAGGGTGCTGGGAGCCCCAGGAGGGGCGGGCAGCCCTGCAAGGTGGCCAGGGGTGTGCTGGTATCTGAAGTGGACTTTGTTGTGTGGTGGCCGTGGGCAGAGAGCCAACGTCTGCATTTCCTTTCCAAGGCATGACTCCTGAGCGAGTGAGCACCAGGGCTCCTGCACCCTCTCCCCACCCCCCAAAGGGAGCCTCAGCCCCTGGAGTCACCCCAGGTGCTCAGCAAGTGTGACACTGGGAACATTCTAACAACCCCCTCACCCCCACCCCCCACACACACCCCTAGGATAGGCAGGCGCATCACCACACTCACCTTTCCTGATGTCCCCAAAAAGGGACAGCACGCGGACTGGCTCTCTCTTCCACACAGGCACCGTTTTATACATCTCAAGGGGACTCTCCTATTTATTAAAAAAAGAAAAGAAGAAAAGATGACGCTCTGGGCGGAAGTGGTTACAGAGCCTGTGAATCACAGGGAGGCTCCTTTCTGGCCAGCAGAGGGGTCCCCTGAGCAGAGGCACACCTGGGGCACCCCTGCCCAGGCGCTGGCCCGCCCTGACCTCACTGCGCACCCCCAGGCCTGGCCTCCTGCCCTGAACCCTCCCCAGACCATCGCTAGAAAGGAAGGCAGGTGTGGCCTTCCTATGTGAGGAAGACAGTTCCGTGGGGGACACTTCCTGTGCATTTCTTGGGGAGAGCCTCACATCGGGGGCTTCTGAATACACGCAACCTATTCCACCCCATTCCTCTCCTTCCCTGTGAGGGCTCCGAGTGCAGCCCCAAGCCACCTAGCACCCTGAACGTCACTAGCGGGAGGCCCTCCCAGGCCGAGGATGGAGACCTCTGCCCTGTCTCAGCCACGAAGAAGCCAGTAGCCACACCAGAGACAAAGGATGATGCCTGCCCTTCCCTTCCCTCCCAGGACGCCCGGGAGACTGTTGATCCATTTGGCAAACAAGCCCCCCCAGAGACCCCTGCCCCCAGGAGGTGCATGTTGGGGGAACGTGGCCTCCTGCAAGCAAGGAATCAAGCCACCCACTGTCGAGACCAGGCCTGAGTGGGGGGTCTGCCTGTGTGGGAGGCTGGCAGGGGAACCCCAAGCGACAAGAAGGGCCTGCCTGAGCATAAGCAGACAGGACAGCACCCACACAGGCAGCGAGTGAATGGGCAGGGGAGTCTGGGCAGGGCAGGTGTGCCCATGCCGAGGAGTGTGGGCATTTTCTTGCAAAGTGAAAGTCCTTCTGCAACTTGTAAGCCTGGTCGTCCCACACTGAGGTGGACAGTTTCTGCCACTGGGTGGGCCATCGGCACAGGGGCAGCTGTGACTGATGGACACTGTGGGACGCGTGTCCTGGTCCCCGGCTGCACTGCAGGCGCAGAGCTGCTGCCCCCTGCGCCTGGCACTGGGCTGGCGTAAGGACAGTTTCCAAATGTCAACTTCATGTTCTTGCAAAGTGGAAAGTCCTGCAACTTGCAAGCCTGGGTCGTCCTACACTGAAATGGACGGTTTCTGCCACTAGATGGCCCCAAGGAGGTTCTATGAGGAGTACCAGTGCCTGTTCTCCAAAAAGCACCATAAAGACACCTGCAAAGGTTGTTGTAAATGCACACCTGCCCCCAGCCTGTGTCAGGGAGAGGGTGGTACGGCACGCCCGCCTGTGCCCCCTATGGGTGGGCCCGGCAATTCTGTGTGCAAGTCCCCAGAACCGGTTCTGGCTGTGGGCCCCTACTATCCACTGCTGCATCGCCAAGCACCCGCCCTCGCCCTCCTGTCTTAGTTTTCCAGCACAACCACAACAAATGGGAATAAACTGTGGCCACGAATTTACTCAGGAGGCCGAAGTCTTTAATCAACGTGTCAGCAGCACTGGTTCCCGCTCGGAGTCTGAGGGGGGCTCTGACCCAGGCCTCTCCCCAGCGTCTTGAGGGGCTGGCAGTCCTTGGGGCCTGGCCGTGTAGACCACACTCCAAACTCTCTCCCCAGAGCCACATGGCCGCCCTCCCGCTGTGTCTGTCTCCAGTCTCCTCTCCTTTCTCTCTATGACACATTCCAGACCCACCCTAATCCAGGAGACACAGATCCTTAACTCAATTGCATTGGCAAGGACCCTATTGCAAAACAAGTCACCTTCACAGGCACCAGGGTCAGCACTTGGATGTGTTTTTTGGGGGTCACAGTTCATCCCACTGTGATGAGCCCACTGCTGCCTAGATCCTGGCTCCTGGCTGTGACTTCAGCCCTCGAGAGGCCCTGGTCTAGCCGGCTGCCCAGGCGTTTGTGCCCGTCCCCTGCCCGCTACAAACACCTGGTTCCCAGGCTTGGCACAGCCCCACCGCCCGCTAACGTAATTGGAAAGCAGACCATCGCTCATGGAACCTGCTGTCAGAGAGAAGGCACATTTGCTTAAAGGCCTTTCGTGCCACCTTGTAGCAGAGCAGGTGGGCATCCTGCAGCTAGTGGCCAGAGGAAGCCAGCGAAGCTGGGGCCCCTGGCACCGGTCCGTCCTGTCCGGCGAGCGGCTCCTTACCGGATCCTGGTCATAGAAGGCCTTCAGCCGCTCCCGCCACTTCCTCCTGCGCTGCAGCAGCCCGTTGCGGGGCGAGGGCAGGCACAGGAAGCACACCCAGTTACTCATGGCCTGAACTTTCCCCGAGGTCCCGGGCCCCACCAGGGTGTCCACGCACTCGAAGCAGTAGCACCTAGAGCCACACAGAAAGCCAGTGACTGAGGTGACTTCGCTCTGGCCACCGACGGACACCACGGGCCGCCTGCAGGCCGAGGAGAGCCTGCCCTCGCTTTGGAGTGAGCTCTCGGAGCCACACCCGGGCTCCTGGGAATGACAAAGTTGGCCCTGTTCGTCTGCACCCACACAGTGTGAAGGTGAGACTGTGGACCCGGGGGAGGGGGGGGCTGTCCCTCTCAGGGACCTAGAGGGATGGGAACCAAGCCATCTGCAGAAGACAGTGGGCTGTTTATGGGCAAGGACAGATTTCAGAGAACCTCCTAAGCCACCTGTCTTCCCCCAACCCTGGAGCCCGGGACACAGTTAAGCTTTTCCAACATCAGTAGGGGGGGTGGGGGAGGACATGGGGTGGGGAGGCAAGTGCAAGGATAGCCCCGGGGGACTGAAGGGGAGGGGACTATGAATGGAGCTCATGTTGGCATGTAAGGAGGCATGAACATGCCCCTGCCTGTCTCCCCCTTCCTCCCGCCCTGACCAGCAGCCCCCAAGGGTGCAGGGTGTCCACCCTCCGTCATGATTGGGGGAGCAGCTACGTCTTGGCGAGAACAATAATAAAAAGAAAAATTGGAAACACAAGTCTTTTGACGCCCCACCTCCCATATGTCCAGGCTCGACATCAAATGAAATGTGTGAGATGGAAATTGAGAGCTCTGGAGAGAGTCATCCCTTTGTGGGGGGTCCCCCCCATTCTTAGGTGCGTGGCTGAGAAGGATGGGCTATCCCAGGGTCCTTGGCCTTCACCCGGGCCCCACCGGGCACCCCTCGCCTCACCGCGCGCAGTCGGGGTTTTCGCAGATGAGCAGCGTCTGTCCCGCGCAGCAGATGCAGCAGTAGGACTGGTACCCGTCCTCATCGTACAGGAAGAAGTAGTCCCGGAACTTGTCCTGGGAGAGAGCAAAGCAGCCAGTGCCTCCTCTGCTCCCAGGGGCCTCCCCAGCCGCCCCTCGGCTCCTGGCTTACCTTGCAGGGGGAGCACATCCCGCCCTCGAACAGGGGGTGCTGCCTGCACACCTGGAAGCTCCCACAGCAGATGCACAGCTCTAAGGGGACAGCCAAGGGGCAATGGGGTCACGACACCACCAGACAGCCACAGACTTGGGGAGACATTTAACAAAAGAGGGGCAAGGCCCCTACACGGGAACCACAAAACGCCGTTGGAAGGAAAATCTGGATAACTGGGAAGCCGTGTCCCAGGTCATGGTGTGAAGTCTGATCAAATAATTGAAGGGACACCCCCTCCCTGGGGCCTGACCCTTAGGCCCTGTCACAAGGACATTCCCTTTTTGCTTAGACCACATTCCACTTGCTAAGACCACATTCCACTTGCTAATAAGACCATTATCTCTCCCCTCCAGGACCTTCCTAGGTTCTGGGCCCGCCCAGAGAACTCTCCGCCCAGAAAAAGCCCGCCTTCGGTCCTTGAAAACCTCTGATTGCCCGTCCCTGGGTGCTGGCGCCATTTTAGGGCTTGGCCCATCCGGTGTCCCGAGGACCTAATGAATTCATAATCCCTCACCCCTTTGGCCTCATGCGTTCCTCCTTCAGTGACCCTAACGCATGGATCGGACGGAATATTGTTAAAAGGATGCGCCTGCCCAAACTGAACTATACTTTCCTCTCGAAATCCCAGCTGCCTTCTGTGTGCGCGCGCAAAAGTTCACAAGCTGATCCTGAACTGCATATGGAAATGCAAGGACTCCAGAACAGGCAAAGCCGCAGAGAAAACAAGTAGATTTGTGATTGTCTAATGTGCAAGGGGGAGGTGAGGAGGAATGGGGAATGACTTGGGGCTGGGTTTTTTGGGTGTGTGTGTGATAAAATGTCCTAAAATTAGATAGTGGTGATGGTTGCACAACTCCGGGAATGTAAGACACTGAACTGTGTACCTTAAATGGAGCCATGGGGGCTGGGGCCCTCGGAGGGAGATGAGCAGCAGGGCACCAGCTACGCCCGCTGCCTCCTTCCTGGATGGAGGCCTGTGTGAGGCTGCAGCCAGCGGGTCCAGAGCTGGCGGACATCCCCTTTACCTGGGGGTGTGGGCACGTGTGCGACCACTCACCTTCTATGGCTCGCTGGTTAACCTTGACTTCATATGCAATCAGATCTGGAAAAGAAAGTTAAGTGGGGCCTTGCTCCTACCTGCCTGTCGTTTAAACACAGCCACAAGTGAGTGTTATACGTTGATTTTCTGAAGCCACAGGAGCCAGAGGACCCTACTCCCACCCCCACCCCGTGGTCTCTACCTACCTTTCCTGCAATGTTACCCCCCCCCAAGCTTGAGGGTGGGGAGAGCCCCTGGGTGGGGCCCTCCCTGCCCCTGCCCTAGCATCTGATCTACGTGTGGATATTCGAGAAGCCTGGAACCCAGGCCTGGGGTTGGCATCCCAAGCGATGGGCCCGGCACCCAAAGGAGCCCTCACCTCTGCGGGGCTCGGGCGAAGGGGTGGGCGACTGCTCACTGGAACCCACCACGATGATGTCCATGCTGCACTCCGCCTCGGGGTCCATGTCTGGGGCAGCTGCCATTGGACACCGTCCAGGAGACAGGACAGGCACAAGCAGGGGGAGGAAATGGTCCCACAGCCTCTGCCTTGGAGCCCCTGGCCCCCGGCAAGGGCGAAGGGGCCCAGCACCCAGCTCGGCCCCCACCCACCTTCCACAGTGACACCCACCCCTCCCAACCCCAAGGAAGGTCTTCCTGGCAGGAAGGCTGGTGGTGAGTGCCAACCTTGAGAGCTTGGTGTGGCCCCTGTGCCAGGTCCCTCCCCACCATGGCCCCCGCCACAGCGAGCAGTAAAGGGAGAGGTCTTGGAGGGGTCCAGAGCTAAGGCCCCTGCAGCCGCCGCCTCCGTCTGCACCCACCGCCTCCGTCTGCACCCACCGCCTCCGTCTGCACCCACCGCCTCCGTCTGAACCCACCGCCTCCGTCTGAACCCACCGCCTCCGTCTGCACCCACCGCCTCCATCTGCACCCATCAGCAGCTGTGGGCCCCCCCCCCCCCCGGCCACTCCCGTGCTCCCACCCGCAAGTGTCCCCCAGATCTGCTGGACCCTCAGGCAGGAGGCGAGGGAGAGGGAGAAAGGGCCTCACAGATTTCACAGGGCGGCTGCCACGGCTCCTCTTCCAGCTGCCCGGCGGGGTCAGGGTCCGGGCTGTCCAGGCGCTCCAGGCTCAGGGTCCCAGGGGAGGAGAGGGCCATGGGACCGGGGAAGGGGCCTCCCAGGAACCCGCAGGAACAGGTCAGGTGGGAGGCCCGGGGGCCATTGGGTGCGGGGGCTGAGGAGCACTAGGGGAGGGGGCGCAGGGTCCCCCAGACGTGCGGGGGAGGGCTGAGCAATCTTCTGTGTGAAGGGGTGTTGGGTGAAAGGGTGAGGAGCTCCTGCAGGCAGCTTATATGGGTGGGTGGGATAGAACGTTCCGGAAGGGAGGAGGGGGAGGAGAGGTGGGGTGGGGTTAAGTGCTCAGTGGGAGGGAAGGGGCTTGGGGGCAGGGTGAGGGGGTTCAGTAAAAGGATGCTAAGTGAAGTATGGAGTTGGGTGGCGGGCCAGGGCTGGAGCTCAGTGGGGGAGGGGCGTGGCACTCCTGGGCGGGGCTTAGGGGGCTCAGTGCTCCGGGCGTGGGTGGGGGCAGGGCTGGAGGAGGAGGGGGAGGGAGGAGGGGGAGGGGGAGGGGCAGGGGGGAGGGAGTTCCTTGGGGGCTTAGGAAGCTGGGTGGTGTCCACCGTGGGGGTGGAGATGAGAGGTGAGGAAGAAGGAGCCAGGAGGCATTCACTTCGGTGGGATGGGCCAAACGGCACTCAGTGGGGGGCGGTGCGGGGAGGAGTTGGGGGTCTCAGGGCTGAGACTGGGAGTAGGGGAGACCCTGGGGGCAAACAGCCCTCTGTCCCCATTGGGTGCCTGCTGGCCAAGCCTCCTGACTTCCCCTGACAAACACCTCTACCAGGTGATCAAGGTCAACATCAACAGCGACAAGTTGGATTGACAGGGCGCACCCACGATGGGCTGTGATGTGAGGTGATGAGAATGGCAGGTCACCTCTGTGGTTTTCCTGCCTCTACCCATGAGAAAAGCACCAGAAAATTCCCGTAGAGCAGCGGTTCTCAACCTTCCTCACGCCGCGACCCTTTAATACAGCTCCTCACGGTGTGGTGACCCCCGATTTCATTGTTACACATTGAACATAATTAAAGCATGGTGATTAATCACAAAAACAATATGTAATTATATATGAGTTTTCCGATGGTCTTAGGCGACCCCTGTGAAAGGGCTGTTCGACCCCCAAAGGGGTCGCGACCCACAGGCTGAGAACCGCTGCCGTAGAGGACCACTGGGCAAAAGGCCTGCCCGTATTCCTTAAACCTGCTCAGGCCATCGACAGCAAAGACAGTGTGACAAACCCTCGCTGTCACAGGGAGCCTAAGGGGAGGTGACAACTAACTGTCCAGTGGGGTCCTGGGGTAGAAAACGGACATGAGGGGAATGTCAGTCAGCTATGGCTTATTCATTTGGTTAATAATAATGGATCAGTATTGGTTCATTCAGTGGAACAGAGGGGAACCTGTGAGGTTCATGGTAACTGCATGGCTTTGCACAATTTCTGTAAATAGGAGACTTCTAAAGTTGTTTTTTCAAACAATATGCAGTATTACTCACTATAGTCACCATGCTGTACATTACGTCCCCATGACTTACTTTATAACTGGGAGTTTCACCTCCTTCAGCCATTTTACCTACTGGCCCCCGCATCTGTTCTTCATATCTACTGAGGTCAGGGGTTTTGTTTTTGTTTTGTTTTTTTAAGATTCCACATATAAGTGAGATCATATGGAATTTGTCTTTCTGTCTGACTTATTTCACTTAGCATAGTGCCCTCAAGGTCCATCCATGTTGCAAATGGCAAGGTTTCCGTTTTTTTATGGTTGAATAGTATTTCATTGTACCCATCTCTACCATAATGTATTTATCCATTCATCCATCTGTGGGCACTTAGGTTGTTGCCATCTCTTGGATACTGAAAATAATGCTGCAGTGAAGATGGGGGTGCAGATATCTTTTCCAGATAGTGCTTTTGTTTTCTTTGGATAATTATCCAGAAGTGGAGCGCTGGGTCATATGGTAATTCTACGTTTAGTGTTTGAGGAATCTCCACACCGTTTTCCACAGTGACTGCCCCAGTTTACCTCCCCAGCAACAGTGCATGAGGGTTATCTTTTCTTCACATCCTCGCCAACACTTTCTTCTTGGCTGTTTTTGGTAACAGCCATTCTGACAGGTGTGAGATGATAGCTCATTGTGGCTGTGACCTGCATGTCCCTGGTGATGAGTGATGTTGAGCATCTTTTCATGTGCCTGTTGGCCATCGGTATGTCTTCTTTGGGAAAATGTCTATTTAAATTTTCTGCCTATTTTTAATTGGATTTTTCCCCATGAGTTCCTTATATATTTTGGATATTAGCTTCTTATCACATATATTATTTGTAAATATCTTCTCTCACTCATTTTGTTTCCTATATGTGTTTGTTCATTTCTGGGTTCTCTATTCTGTTCCACTAATCATTGTCTGTTTTTATGCCAATATCACACTGTTTTAACTACCAAAGCTTTGTAATGTAGTTTGAAATGAGAGAGTATGATGCCTCCAGCTTTGTCCTTCTTTCTTAAGACTGCTGTGGCTATTTGGGGTCATTTGTGGTTCCATACAAATTTTAGGGTGGTTTTTCCTATTTCTGTGAAAAACGTCATTGGAATTTTGATAGAGGCTGTATTGAACCTGCAGATTGTTTTGGATAGTATGGATGGTTATGACAATATTAATACTTTCAACCCATAAATATATTTAACATATATTTATATAATACATATTAAATACATACTGTATATTTAATGTATGACATAATATATATAAATTATTTAGAATATATAGTCAAGTTAATTCACTATTTTTTAAAAGTGGAGGGAAGAGAATTTTTATTTTTATTTTTGGTAAGAGTTTAATTGAGCCAAAATGAGGACATATCCAGGGAGCAATATCCCAGATGCTCTTTGGGGTAAGTTTTGCAGGTTTCTTTTTTCTTGATCAACTTTTTTATTTATTATGTTTTGAATTGCTTTTAATTTTTCAATTACAGTTGACATACATTATTATATTAGTTTCAGGTGTCCACCCCAGCGATTAGACATGATGTACATAACTTACTAAGTGGTCATTCTGATAAACTCACACTCACCTGGCACCATACATAGTTATGACAATATTATTGACTATATTCCCTCTGCTGTACTTTAACATCCCATGACTATTCTGTAACCACCGATTTGTATTGTTTAATCCCTTCAGCTTTTACACCTACCCCGCTCCCCTGCCCTGCGCGCACCCCCCCCACCCCCCGTAACCCCCTGCTATCTGGCAACTGGCAAAATGCTCTGGATTAGTCTCTTTCTGCTTTGCTTGTTTATGCGTTTTGTTTTCTAGATTCAATTGTTGATAGATATGTGTGTATTGCTGTTTTAATGTTCATATTTCGCTGTCTTCTTCCCTCCTTCTTCTTCTTCTTGACCCTTTAACATTTCATATGATATTGGTTTGGTGGTAATGATCTCCTTTAGTTTTTCTTTGTCTGGGAAGGTCTTTATCTGTCCTTTGATTCTAAATGATAGCTTTGCTGGGTAGAGTAATCTAGTTTGTAACTCCTTGCTTTTCATCACTTTGAATATTTGTGTCACTCCCTTCTGACCTGCAAGGTTTCAGCTGACAGTCTGATGGGAGCTCCCTTGTAGGTAACTAACTGCTTTTCTGTTGCTGCTTCTAAGATGCTCTCTTTGTCTTTCACTTTTTGCATTTTAAGCATCATGTATCTTGGTGTGGGTCCCATTGAGTTCATCTTGTTTGGTGTTCTCTGCGTTTCCTGGACTTGTATATCTATTTCTTTCACCAGGTTAGGGAATTTTTCTGTTAGTTTTTTCAAATAGGTTTTCAATTTCTTTCTCTCTCTCTCTCTCTCTCTCTCTCTCTCTCTCTCTCTCTCTCTCTCCCTCTCCCTCTCCCTCTCCCTCTCCCTCTCCCTCTTCTTCCAGCACCCCATGATGCAAACATTGGTATATTTGAAGTTGTCCCAGAGGCTCTTTACACTATTCTTGTTTTCTTTTCTTTTTATTTATTTATTTTTTATTCTTTTTGCTGTTCTGATTGGGTATTTTGTTTTTGTTTTGTTTTTTGCTTCCTTATGTTCCAAATTGCTGATTTGAATCTCAGCTTCATCTACTCAACTGTTGATTCCCTGTAGATGATGCTTCATTTCAGTTAGTGTATCCTTCATTTCTAACTGGTCCTTTCTATGCTGTTGAGGTTCTCACTAAGTTCAGTGAGCACCCTTATAACCAGTGTTTGAACTCTGCATCTCGTAGATCGCTTGCTCCATTTTTGTTTAGTTCATTTTCTAGAGTTTTATTCTCTTCTTTCATTTGGGACATATTTCTTTGTTTCCTCCTTTTGACAGCCTTCCTGTGTTTGTTTCTGTGCGTTAGGT